GTTGTGGGAGTAAAGTTTTAAATAAAAGATGTGCTCACTGACCTTTCATTTAATTTTCATTTCATTAATCAAATTATTTATTTCAATGAATTGGTACTATTCATCGCAGTAAAACTATTTTCTTTTTATTCTTTTTAAATAATTAATTTTTAATAAAGAAGCGAAGAATTTAAAGATTCTTAATCGCCTCTAAAATAGATCGTCTCTAAAATAGACCTCTTGAAGTTGGAAGAAAATATCAGGTTTAGTAGTATAGGAAAGTAATAACTGTGTTGTGAGCTGCTATTAACAATCAGTGGACAACTTCACAGCAAGCAAGGAACGCCAGGAATAGACTTACAATTAACCGAAAAAGAAGGCATCATGTTCGTCCAGGACAAAGTCAATTGTAAAGTTCGTAATTATTTCAGCATAACAAGGTTGTTTTTGTCCTTTTCATTAGAAACATTTCACCTTTATCATTTGTTCTATTTTTTTTTTAAAATTTTTTTATAAATACAAATTTATTTATAAGAATTTTAATTTCAAAGCAAGAAATTTAAGCATTTTTTACGAAAGGAAGGAGGGCGAGGTCGTGTGGTTTACGAAATTTTTTAGTAAATAAAATAAGGGTCTTGTTGGTCGAAATAAGTAATTTCGACATTTAAATGATATAATATTACAATATATTTATGAATAATAAGTATAATAATATTTAATATTTAAAATTAATAATATTTAAAAAACGATTGTTATTTTTTTATATATTTTAATTTAAAAGGTTTTTTAAAAAATTTATTCAAATTAAAAAAGAAGTTTTTTAAACGCATTAATATTGAAGTATAAACAGTATTTAAACCATTTTAAATTAAATTAAACTAATTTCATTTTTTTAAATTAATTAAAAAATTAATTTAGCATCACAGTTTTTTTTTTTGCGAAAGGTAGGCGAAAGGCATGATTTTAACATAAAAATCGCCATTTATGTAAATTTCAAGCATTTATGTAAATTTTATGAAATATGTAAATTTTAAGCGAACATTTAGTTATTGGATGATTATTTCGTTGCTTCAAATATATTTCATTTTTTATAGACAAAAACTCGAATCAATATATGCTCAATTTTTATTAATTTTCTCATTTTTTATTCTTTGTTCATCAATTTTCATATAATTTTTAGCAATAGTCATAGTATATATTATTATATTCATATATTCCAACGTTCGCAATCTCTTCTTCATTCTTTTAATTTTTTCTCATACAACAGTTCAATTATCTAAATAATTGTTTTTTTTAACCAATTTTTAAATAAAAGAAAGTAAATCTTAAATCGAAATCTCTCATATCGTTATGATTTATATAAATCTTTCGAATTTGTTAGAGGGGATTCCATTAAATGAAATTTTTTCTACAGTTAAAATTGCCAGTTATTGATGCTTGATCTTCTTTTTTTTTTCAGTGAAGTTTACTATATTCGGTTTGATTGGCTGGTAGGCTGAGGTTTTTCACCAAAATGCCACTTATAGACAATTCTTCTTCTTCTTCTAACAGCTCTCACCATTACTGGTTAGGCTGGCTCCAACAGCTGCAAGGGTAAGACGCTTCCAAACATCGTGGCATCGTCGACAGTAATAGAAGCCATTCCTTTTACCATCGTTCAAGTCCATATATCGCTCCTATATTTTCAAAATCTTTCGTGACCGTATCAGTCCAGGTCTTGATTAGACCACCTCGCTTTTGACTCCATTCATCACAGGGTTTAGCAAGTAAAGAAATACCCCTGTGGTGGACGACGGAGAACGTGTGCTAACCACCAAGGACCAACAAGGACAACGCTCTGTTATTAATACAGATGGTGTTTGAACAAAGGTGGATGCGACCATGTGATATTTTATCCGCTCGACGAGCTCATAAAATATACCTTAGACAAGAGTGGTCAAAGGTAGATAGATTTTTAATATCCTCCACTCTCATTGGCCATGTCTCAAAACCACTTATGTCTCACTTATAGGCAATAGAAAATTTAATTTTTTAGTCACCAAATTCTTTTTTTATCAATTAAAAGGTTTGATGGAAAGGTGATTTATATATCATGTATTTTCCAGTTTTTTTTTGTCCTTCAAATTTTAATTAAGATTAGAAAGGATAAAAATTTTTTTATTTTTGCATATTATATAAAAAGTATTGCACGAAAAAATTTAAGCTAAATGGTTGCCTTAGAAGCGAATTTCTATTATTTTACGAATTTACGAAGAATTTTAACAAAATAATGCTTTCTTAAAAAAAAAAAGTTTTTTTCAAATTTTTATTCTATAAAAGCCTTTATTTAAAGTTTTGTTTACATAGATTACTTATATGCCAAATTCTCTGATTTAATCTGTCATTGATTCCAAATAAAAATAATTAATAATAAGTGAGTTGGTTAATCAATTTTTTAAATATATAAATGAGTATAAATAATAAAAAATTATAAAATTATAATATAAAATTATTTATATTTATAATATTTATATATTAAAATTATTTAAATAAACTTATTTGTTTGTTTTATTGTTACGAAATTGAGTTTCTTTCTAATTTCTAATTGTTAAAACATTAAAAAATTTTTTTTTTGCAAATGAATTTTAAATAAGTAATAAATTAGCAATTGGTAGTTGAAAAGAATCGAATCTTCAGCGATTTTATTGATTCGCTATTTTTGGTTGTTTCATATCAAAAACTAAATCATTATAAATTCTAAGCAATAAAATAATACAAAATTGTGGTTAATTGAATTATTAATGGCCGAAGAAAAAAAAATTAGCCAATTTTTTGTAAGTGCATTTATAGAGTAAAAATAAAGGTAAATAATTCCATGAATTCCAGGATTTTAAACGATTTTATATATTTATGAAATGAGTATTAAACTATTAGATAATTTATTTATTTCGAGTATTAACAATATGAACAAAAAAATTTTGGGATCTTAGCCTTAGCTTTACATATGGCGGTTGGCTTAAATAATTTCAGTCCACTAGTTTTTGAAATTTAAATTACAAGTTCTTTCTATTTTTCCATTATATATTTTGGCATATCTTCTTCTAACAGTTTTCAAAATTATTAGCTTCGTTGCCACAAGCGTAAGAAGTCTCAAATCTGCTGGGCATAATGCCATCGCCGACAGTAATAGAAGCCATTTCTTTTTCTATATCCACGTCTAAGTCCGTATATCGCTGGTTCTTCTATACGTTCAAAATCTTTTCTGACCTCCTTGCTTTTGTCGCCATCCATCACAAGGCCTGGCAAGGAATATCTTCCAGCCTTCTATGGTGGATGTGAGACGTGCCTTAACCAGCTAAAGTGGCACTCTGCGATGATATTATGCATATTCATCATATTGCCTTAATTCTTTTCTCATCTCTTCATTCTATTGTTGCAATTTTAAATCCCAGTGTGGTTCCTCTACTAATTCTTCGATGGTTATTCGAAATAGTATTTTCCTATCCGACTAAAACGATTGCAATTAGTATTCCAGGCAAGACATAAATAAAGAAAAATATTCTTTTTTGCATACATAATGAAAATTTGCAAGAATTTTTAATTTTTAAAGTTATTTGCTAAAATTATTAATGAGTATCGCAATTTTTCATCTTTTTTATAATATTTTTAGCAAAAATATTTTCAGAATTAGGAAAAGAACTATTTTTTTTAATGCGACGTTTTTTTTAAGTTTTTCTGAAGTAAAATATGAATAATGAAAAAATTGAAAAAATTGATAAAGAAAAAATTGCGAAAGAGATTGCTTCCACTACAAAAATGAAATCAGCCGTAAAATTGCATTTAATTTATTCGGAAATATCTTCAAGTTTTAAAAGATTATTGGTGATTTTTCGAAAATCTTTTTCTTCTTCTAATATCACCATTACTCGTTAGGCTGGCTCTGCTGGCTATAAGAGTAAGACATCTTCAAACTGCTGGGTCCAATGCCATCGCTAGTAGTAACAGAAGCCATTCCTTTTTCCATCATCATCTAAATCCATAATATCGCCGATCCCTCTATGCGTCAAAATTTTTCCTTACTGTATCAGTCCAGGTCTTGACTGGCTCTCCTCGCTTTTGATGCCAACCATCACAGGGTATGTGTCAACTCCTGTGGTAAATGATGGGGAGTAAGCTTCAACCATTGAAGGCCACGCTCTATGACGCTCTGTGATTATTAATACAGGTGTTTGAGCGATGATGGATAGAATCAAGTGCGATTTTATCCCTTCGACGGATCCGTAAAATTTACCATAGACATAATTGGTCAAAAGCCAATAGCTTCTTAATATCTTCCACTCTTATTGGCCATAAGATTTTCGAAATATAAAATATATATATTTTGAAAATCTAAACAACTTCTCTAGAGGACGATTATTCGCCATCATTCTAATCTCTTAAATCTATGAAAATTTCATATGATTTTTCTTCACTTTATATCTTTGGAAATATAATTAATTCTAGTAAATATGGATAAAATAGAAATTTCTGATAAGCTTTTCCAGAATTCTGATAAATAGTTTCCGACAAATTCTAATAATTCTGGTAAATTTAAATGCTTTTTTTTCTCAATTTTAGTCATATTTTGAAATTTTTTAAAAATTCTATACTATAAGTTAGTAATAAAATTATTTTATTATATTTTAATTTTTCTTTTAAGTACCAAAGAAGAGAAAAATTTTCGTACACCGCAATCAGTTCGAAAATTCGCTGTTCTATTTAATCGACGAAAGAGCGAATCAAATGTGATGAAAAATATAAGTGCATTGGCAATGGTTTGTATTAATCGTTTTGAAAAAAATTTTATAAAATATAATTTTTTATATAATATAAAAAATAAGATTTGCCTGAAATGCCTAAAATACTATTTTATCATCGGAGAAGAAAATTACAAATCGTTTTGATTTACACTTTTCATCAGATAATATTAGAAGTGATAAGATTTTGATAATTTTTAAAAGTATCAAATTATAATAAATTTATTGTAGAATCCAGATCAAGTGGAAAATTGGGAACCGGACCTATATGAAAAAGAGCTCTTGATGGTACTTTTTTTCTTTTATTAAACGAATAAACGATAAGATTATAAAGCAAAATTTATGGTAAATACGAATTTGTGAAAAAATTTATTTATTTAATTGTGATTTTTAATAAATTTGTTGAAATTTTAATTTTTAATTAATTAATTATATTTTTAACATTTTTAATATTTATAATATTTATTTTTATAATTTCAATATTTAATTATATTTTTAGTAATTTATCATTATTATTATTATTATTAATTTGTTCACTTATTATGTTTCTTTCGAAGGGATTTAGAAAACTTATTTTTTTTTAGATGCTATAAGTCAATATTACAATTACCAAGGGATCATATATTTATTTTTTTAATCATATATTTATTTCAATGGATTAGAAATTCCATGAAAAAATTTTTTTTATTCTATTTATTTCTTTATTTTTTTTATAAATTTTTTTTAATTTTTGAATTTTTTTTTAAATTTTTTTTTTTTAAAAAATTTTTTAAATTTTTCTAGCAAAAACATATTTGTTAATTAAAAACAATTTTTCATCACATTTAATTTTATGATATTAAATATTTTAAAAGAATTAAAAATTTGAAATTTAGCGTACGTGGAGTGATGATTTTGAATATTTATATCAACTTGGCTCGAATATTTACACATATATATTTCAAACAAATCCAAAAGCGAAGCAGTTATTTCCTTTTATGGAAAAATATGGCGATCGATGGAAGGAATCTAAGGAATTTCGTAGCCAAGCACTTAAATTTGTACAAGTAAATTTAAAGAAAAATTTTTTAGTAAAAAAAAAACCAAAAACCTTATTTTTTTGAAAATTAATGAAATAAATTTTTAATGCCATTTTTTTGTTTTGCCATTTTTGCCATTTAATGTTTCAAAGGAAAAAATAAGCCTATATGGCTATAATTGAGTTTAGACTTCGAACTATCGATTCATTCAGTCTTCTAAATTATCTAAAAATTTTAGGTTCTTTCCTTAGCTGTCAAAAACGTTTATCATATGGAGAGGTTAGCGCCTCTACTATATAATATTGGTGAAAAACATGTCCAATTCATCGATCGGGGATTTATTCCGGAATTTTGGGATACTTTCTTAGTTAATATTTTTCTTTATTTTCTATTAGTTTTTAAAACTACTTAATTATTTTATAATGTTTTCATTACTCATTATTTTAAAAATAATCGATATATAAAATGAATTAACGTGGATGCGATTAATTTTATTTAAATTTTTATCCGAATTATATTGCGAAAAAAGAAAAAACATAAAAAATTTTTTTTCCCTCATTTCATATAATTTAAAATTGGAATATATTTCCACGAAACTTATCACAGCTTTACAATTTTTATAAAATTTATATAAAATAAAATGTATATAAAATTAAAATTCAATAAATATTAATAAATATAATAATAAATATGATAATAAATATAATAACTTATGCGGATAATATTATGTGACATTCGTGTTAATGGATTTCCACAGGACATCGAAATTCCCATTTTTTTCTTTGCCATTTACAAAGGTTTCTAAAACGATATTCATTTCAGCATTTATGAATATGCAATATATTTTATGAATATAAAATTTAATTAATTCTCTAAATATAAGTCTGCTTTTGACAAATGATATAAAATATCAGATTAATTAATAAAGATATCGAGCGGTTCGTTGAACTCGTATTTTATAGATTGTGTGTTGATATAAGAATTTCACTCCCACTCCCTTCGTAGGAATGAACCTTTCTTACGAAAAATTCGAATATTGACTAATGAGCCCACTAATTTTATGGCTAAGTGATTTATGGCTAAAAATTTTTCCTTCCTGAATAAGCCGCCAATGGAACAAATGCTAATTAGAAAAATTGAGCACACTTTTAGAGAAAAAAATTATTACTTAATTATTATATTTTATTAATATAATTTTTATATTTTATTGCGAAAAAATTTCTCACAAAAAAATTTGTTTTTTTGAAATTTTACTGCAATTTTTTTAACCTTACTGTATCTTCCTTAAGTAAAACCATTTACATATCATAAAAAATTTTAAATCTCCTATAAGCAAATGGTACGTCGGTGAATCTCTGACAAAATAACTACTACCCAAGTTTGGATTCGAATCCGGCACCACTTTTCTTTAGGCCCTTAGCGGAAAAAACCAAAAAAGAATAGATAAGTATCTTTTTGCTCAATTGGGAATTTTAATGCTAATGTTCTGCTCATAGCAGGATTAAACCTGCTTTTCCAAAATCTAGGCGATGATAATAGCGATGATAATGGCCTGTACATCTATCGCCATGGAACTGAATCTCTAGCATATTTGTCTAATGGGATAAGCTAGAGGAACGAGTCTAACCAGTAATGATGAATGTTTAAAAAGAAAAATTAGTGGTACCAATTTTAAAATTCAATCATTCGTGCCAAAAAATAGTCTATTCTAATCTTTTTTTAAAGGATGCTATGGAAATATCGTTGGAAGCTCATATAAAGTCATTAAATGATTTTAACGAGAAGCAACGTAATGATGCAATACGTACGTGGAGAACTTTAGCTTTATATATTATAACTCATATGAAATTTGGTTTTATTGATGGTTTAGAAACAAGAAGGAAGTCAAAATTAAAAATCTAGCTTTATCTATTTATCGCTAAAATAAATTTCTTTCATACAATAAATAATAAATTAATAAATAAATAATAAATAAATAATAATAATAAAATTTGTTGTGTAATTTTGAATTTGTATATATTTTATTTTTAAAAAAAAATTTATTAAAATTTAATATTAAAATTTATTAAATGTTATATCATTTTGTGTATTCATAAATTTTTTGTTTTTTATTTATTTATTTTATTTTTTCTTTTTTCTTTTTATAAAATTATTTATTCAGTTCTATTCAATTTTTCTATAAATTCATTGCGAATTCTTTTTTTTTTTCTGTTAAAAATATATTTTTACTATTAATAATTCATCAATAATTCGTTCAGGTTTTGTTGATTTCTAAATTTCAAGAAAAAAAACAAATTATAAAAAGAATTATAGTATTTCCGTTTATGGTATTTTTTCTTTAAAGCTGCCTTTAATGATTTTTCTTTTTTTTTTTTTGTTTTTATATAAAATATAAATTTATTTGTGAATTTAATTTATGAAACGCCAATTTTTCTAATAAATTTATTATAAAGGAAAAAATAATTAGAAATCTTTTTGCATTAAAACAATAAATTATTGAAAAATTGGCAAAAAAAAAAATTTTTTTTATATGCATTATTCAATCATTTTTAAATCATATAAGATTGTCAAAAAACCAAAATATTAATAATTAATAAAGTGCATCATAAATTTATCGAACAATGTTTAACAATGGCAATAATCTGTTCCAATATCCAATCGACATTTTCGATTTTAAACCAATCTTTATTTTGGGCCACAGCAAATATCTTTCGTAAGCTTATTTCACGAACGATGAAATAGCAAGAAACCGACTGATAAGCTTACTGATAAGCCTAAGCCAACAAATATGCTTTCCATTGCAAAAGCTCGATAGAACAAAAAAAAAAAAAAATTTGATACATAGTTGTTTTCAATTTAAATAAAAAGGCTTTAAATAAAGTACTTTAAGAATAAAGGATAAGCAAAAGTACTTTAAGAAATCTTTGACTAATCTATCCTTTTTTTTGTATAACTTTCTATTATATTTGAAAAGGAAATGAAATTATTTAGACCTAATTTTATCAGATATCCATTCAAGCAAGTCGATTTATATTTTTTCGATTTAATTTTAATTTTTACGATTATAACCATATGATTTGTGATAATTTCGAATTATATTTTGATTAACGCCAAACAACATAAAAATTAAATTTTCAATTCATAATAGAACTTGATAGAAGAGATTTAGTCATGAAATTTTGTCGCTACTAGAGATTAACAGTCAATTTTATCTATAAAGTTACATTCGCACCTATTAAAAATCATAAAGAATTCCATCCTATTAAAAATCACTCCTGAAAGAAAGCGTTGAAATCAAAAAAATCAGAAAAATGCTGTTGAGAAGAGGAATTGATAATACTAATCTCTGTTAATTATAATAGAATTTGCTTGAAAACTCTATATTTCTGAAGTGAATTTAACAAATATTGATATCGATATTGATAATAAGATAAAGCTTATTAATGCAAATAATAAATTTAAAATAATTTGCTATAATAAACCTTTCAATATAATTATGATTATCCTCTTTTTTAATAAAATATTTTAACTAGTAAATTTTCTACTCCCATATAAAAGGACTTTCGAAATGCATGACATTCTCCTCATAGCAGAATTTTCTAAATCGGCTGACTTGTTTTCATATATGATCAATTCCATTTGCACATATCTGAAATGAGAAATTTTTTTGTTGCATTAGATGTAAACAATCTCAAATACCCGATTGTGAACATGCAATTAGCGTGCTTTCTCATTTTGTGCGTGTTCTTCTACAATTACTTCACCCAATACGCCAATATGCCATATCAAGCCTCGACCTCAAATAAAAAATGCCTATAAAAATGTTCACTGAAATAATAACAGCTAAAAAAAGTTTGCAAATTTCCAGTCATTTTTTGTTAAAAAACAGGATAAAAAATTAAAAAATATAATGAGTGCAAACGATCATGAAATCTGAAGATGAAAATAATTTTAAGAACTTCGGAACTGAGAAAAAATTCATAACAAGAAGTGACATTTTTTAAAACACGCGATTTCTTTATTTATTATCCCATTTCATGCAAAAATTATAAGAAGTTTAATTAATCAGTGCGCATTTTCTTCATCCATTTTTTTAAATGCGTTATAGGCCACTTCATCCATCAGTTCATTTAATTCCTCTTTCTTGGACAATTTCAGTTTGAATAACCATCCTTAAATGACCGTCATAAATAAACAAAAACTATTTCTCTATCGAGCCCCATTTTTTTATTTTAAAATATTTTTTAAAAATATCGTTAAATATCGTTATTAAATAAATTTTAATGGTCAATAGAATTTCTTTCTGAACTAAAAAATTATTTCCATAAAAATATATTACCTTCGTCATAAGGAGACTTGTTGATTAAAGCTGGATTTTCTTCAACTTCACAATTCTTTTCCATAACCTTGCCAGAAACAGGAGAATAAATATCAGATGCAGCTTTAACACTTTCAACAGCACCAACAGAATCACCAGCTGCTATTTCGGAGTCAACATCTGGTAATTCTACGTAAACTATATCTCCAAGTGCTTCCTTAACAAATATTAATTGCAGTTATTAAATGAAAACTTTTTAAAATTAAATTTTATTCGAAATTTCAAAAATTTTTCTCGATTTATTGAACTATTTTTCCATAATCTTTTTCTGAAAAACGTAAAAAACTGAATAAAAGCATAGAGAAGAAATGAATAATATAAGCAACTTGAGCAAAACAAGTGATTCCCACAGTGCCAACATTGTTCTCCACGCATACCCACTCATGCTTCTTCGTATAACGCCTTTCTGAAATTAAGATAATTCAAAGATAATTCAAATTTGATAACACATGATAAATTTGATAATATTCAAAGTTGGCATCTTCATTCTGTTATCAATTATTATTCTATTATAAGAAATTTTTTTTCCAAATATTAAATTCAATGGAACTCAAATTGATGCAAAAAAAAAAAATAGAAACATTCATTTTCTGAATTACAATTGGGAGGAAAAAACGCAGAGCAGAATACGAATACAGTAAAGGCATTTCTAAAAAAAAACAGATTTGAAATAAAAATTCTAACCAAATATAAACCTGTAATTAAACGTATATGAGTGGTGGAAATTTTTCGAAAAATTTTATGAAAAACGCTTTCGAAAGACAAAACTAGCGGCGTCGATCGCAAGAATATTTTCAGTGCCATAATAGAAAACCTTGAAAATCTGAAACTCAGAATTTTTTTTTTTTTCATCGGATTATTAAAAATGGTACAAAATTTGTTTAATACACCGCAAAATAATATAGAAAACAGAAAATAGAAATTCGCCTACAGTGAAAATTTATATGACAACGAATGATATTCAAATAATAAATTATCAAATATTCATTATGTAAAATAAATGAATTGCGAAGGCGATAAAGACGACTAAAATTCTCGACGACGATAATATCGACGACGCTAACGGCGTCTTTTCTGCTAATTCGGCAAAACTGCCTTAGGCGTCTCAACAAAATAAAAATATTTGATTAGGGGTTCTCAAAATTCTCAAATTTTAATTTACATCTGGAAGAGCAATATTCTTCTTATCGATCCCCTGTAAAGGAAACAAGCAACCAATACCTCTTCCTCTCCCACTCCCACCTTCCCCTCTACTACACCACCTCTTACCCCCTCCACCTCTCTTGCATAAATAATTTATGAAGATTTTGCATAAAGCAGTTATAAATTATCGGAATTAATAGAAAATTTTTACGATAGCAATAAATAAATTTCTCAGAATTTCTTAAAAGTTTATGGAATTTTGGAACATTGATAAAAAATTTCATATATAAGAAAAATTTAACGATTGTTTATCTGGCAGCCTTGTTTTGCTTCTAACTTCTTAATGACCCCCCACCCACCCTTAATGACCCCTCGAAAATCTGTGGACTCCCAAACAAACAGTCTGCACTGGTTCAGTTTGGATTTGCTCGTAAATTTAGATAAGAAACCAAATGAAATATTTTGATTATTGAAATTCACGACTTTTTCATTCTTAGAATTTCATGAAAATATCGTAAAAAAGCTTATCGATAATGAAATTTTAAAATAATTTTTATCCTTTATTAAAAAATAATTAAAATTAAAATTACATAATAATTAAAATTAAATAATAATTAAAATAATTAAAATTAAAATATTATCTAACCAGTAAATAAAAAAATTTACGTTCATAATTAATTAATCAACAAATTTGATCGTTTTTCGTAACGAACATTTGTAGCATTTGCAATATTATTATTATTATTAATATTAATATTATTATTTGTTTATATTTTGTAAACAAATAATAAATTACTGGTGACATAACAGACTTATGACAGACTTTAGGTTCCACAGGATATTTTAGTTGAATTTTACATAAACGCGGTAGAGTATGCGCATAGTTTAAGTATAGACCCTTTATAGATTACAACGAACAAAAATAATCAATCGAATCAGGCTACCATTCACCAAAACAATCCGCCAGACACCAGGGAATCCGAAACAAGTTTGAAAACACAGTAAAAACTTGTCTCAGCCGATTATAGTGATTAAGAGAAGTATGAAAAAAACAACGCCGCGGCCCTTCGCCGTTACTCCCCTACCGTATTTGGTGAATCCGCTTATAATCATAAATATTCAGCAAAATTACTGGAAAAAATAAAATGTAGACATTGAACACAGTTTAAGCGTTCATTTTCCTTGAGTTATTTTGTCAAAAATATTTTCAATAGAAACGCAAATTTTTTATTTTTGGATCTCATATTTTTCAATGAGAGATGCTAGTTGGTGCTAAGGAACCAAAATCGGAATCGAAGGTTTCTTGGACCAGAATCGAATCCATACTCTTTTGCCTTAATCTATTCACTAATCACCATTTCTGATTAGACTTGCTGTTGATCGGCAATTGATATCGGCAAAAATTTATCTCAAAAAATGCCTCTTACCTCTTTTCCTAATCCCTCAAACCCCTCACCACACCTCTACCTAAATAAAAAATAAGAATTAAATGAATTAATATGAGAAATTAAATGTTCTAGTAATATAGCAATATAGAGTGGAAAAAAAAACATAATATACTACTACTAAATTGTTTATGAAATTCATATGACTTGGTTCATTAATTTGAAATATTGCACCAGAAACCGGTTCCATTGAGCAGAAATAAAAAAAAAAGAATATTTGCTGCAAATTTATCAATTCTTTATTGTTTTAAAGATTTTTAAAAGTATTACTCTAGCAATTAAATAAGAATTAAATTGTGATTTAAGAAATATCTATAAATTATCAATACCTTCTATTGCTTATCAATTGAATCTGAAAATTTTTTTAGAAATAAATGTAATAATTAATAAAAAAATGGAAAATTGTATTAAAAATGCAATCTTTGTTTACTCATTTAAAATAATAACCAAAGCTTATCTTCTAACAGCACTCATCATTATTGCTTAGGCTGGCTCCACTAAACTATAAGGATAAGGCGTTTTTCAAGCTATTCGGTCCGACACTATCGCTATTGGTAAGCCATTCCTTTTTGCATCATCTAAGTCCATATATATATATATATATATTGCTGGTCCATCTATACGCTCAAAATCTTTCCGAAGCAGCTTATATAACAAAATAATCTTTTGCGGTTCTTTGGAACTTATTTATTCGTCTTAGACAATAATTAATATAGTAGTCAAATATTCAGAGAAGTAAGTAAATAAAGAATTAACCATATTGTAATTGCAGGTGATTGCTAGGTGAACGTACTTCTATAGCTTCTATGGCCATATGTCTGCTTGGCATTGACAAGTAAGCGAAGCAAGCCAAATCAAAAGAATATGCAACACTTTACTGCGAAAAATCACCGTTTCGAGAAAAAAGTAATGTAAATTGAAAAACCCCTCGGCGAATTTTTTTTTTTGTCTCGACATTTCTAATGATAAGTCAAGTCACTGATAATTTATTAAGTTTGCAATATTTTGTAATTGAATTGTAATTGTTAATTTTAACGGCAATTACACTTTGCTAATAGATGATAAAATTTCCTAATTAACTTGGATGAATATTATTTCTGACAAAAATTCGGCTAAAAAAATCGGCTTAGTTTGGAAAAATTTTTTCAAAAAAAATAATTTTAAGTGAATAAAAAAAATTAAATTGTAAAAATTTTTAAAAAATTTCTTGAAATATAAAAAAAAATTTCCAAACAAATTTAAAATTTTATTTAAACTAAAAAGTGAGAAAATAGAAAACGATGAAAAGCGATTTATTTTTTGGCCATATGCATTTATTAAAAGCCTCATCCGTCTTTCTAATCCTCTCAGTGGCCAAAAAAATTTGTTTGGTGATTAAAGTGATAAGTTTTGATTCCATAAAAAAATCATAAAATTGAATACTTTCCGAGCATAAAAAAAGCCTAAAAAAGCTTTGCTAGCGCCTCGTTTTCGTGAAAATATGCAAAAGGAAAATGGTTGACAAAATGTTATTTGTGTTGGTCGTAGTACATAAATTTTCATAAATTTCATTTTTATAAATTCATAATTTTCATAAATTTTATGCTCATTAATAAGAAATTCGATACAGCAAAAAGATAATAAAAATCGAATGGTGGTTCCAAAGCCAACCCTCGACAAAGTTGCCTTAACAGCCAGTAAATAGAATCTTATCAGAAATCCAAACCAAACCAAACCAAACGAATTGTGGTACCAAACAATCACTTATTTTATTCTTTATTTATAATGGAAAATTCAAAAAAAACTCAAAAAACTCAAAGAAATTCATGTTAAACGAGGTGAATCCTAAATGATAAATGATAAATAATGATCTATGGTACAAATTTCGTTATTTCGTTATTTGCTAAATCGTGTGATAGTTGGCGTCAAAAGCGAGGTGAACCAATCAAAACCCAGACTGATACGGTGAGAAAAGATTTTGAACGTATAGATGGACTAGCAATATATGGACTTAGACGATCGAAAAACGAATGACTTCTATTACTGTCGACGATAGAATCAGACCGCGCCGTTTGGAAGCGTCTTACCCTTATAACCGTTGGAGCCAGCCTAACCTGTAATAGTGAGAGCTATTAGAAGAAGATTGTACAAATAGCGTTTAATGTATTAAGACAAATTCTTTGAAATCTTTGGAATCGTCTAGAAAGTTCGCGTCTAATTGTAGCACCCAGGACCGCGTGAACATGACCAATAAAAATGGAGGATATCAAGAAGTCTCCACCTTCACCAAGTACCACCAAGCCTTTCTTGTTTCACTTTCGCTCGTATGCTATCTGCTTTCATAATATCGTCAAAAGGCTTCTGCCGTGTTTCTTCATTGTCGACCACAACAACTGATACGTCGTCAACTAATAGTTAAATAAAGTAAAAAACTGAAATATGCCAAATAAAAATTGGACAATCAGATTCCCAGACTTTGATTTTTCACCAGTCAAGAAGTTATATAACGAGACACCTCGAATGAATAGTGTCTTCGGGCCGCGTTTTCACTTCCGCGACCTCGGGCCGTCTTTAATCGACTGCCTAACCACTTCGTTTAACCTGTCTATTTTTCGAAAAAAAAAGTGTTTCACCGGCGGGGTTTTGAGTTTTACCCTTGGATTTCATTATATATTTTATGTTCAAATAAAATTTTATGCTCAATTAAAATTTATTTCTTATGTCAAATCAATATTTTTCCACATATCTCGAAGATTTGGAACAAGTAAAATTTTATTTTTTAATTTTAAATTTTATTTTTATTTAATATTTGAAATTGCACCAAATAATTTTCTTTTTTAAATAATATTATCGCTAAAAAAAATTCTATTTGGATTATTTTCGTTTTAAAATTTAAAGATTTCAATCGAATTTCTTTTTTTTTTATTTTTTTATTTATATTTATTTATATAAATTTATTTATTTTTATAAATTTATATTTATATATATAAATTTATAGGAACCGTTTGATGTAATTGATTTTGTGGAACGATTAGCATGGCGATTAACGAATGGAAATGACGAAATTGATGTTATTGATTTGAAAACGAAATTCGAAGAAGAAATCGGAAATCTTCAAATGTTAAGCGATCAATTTCAGGTGAAATTATTATCAGCGTTATCAGTAAAACAGTATTTTTTCAGTATATTTTAACAGTATATTTTTGAAATTTATAATAGAAATCTACCATTGTTTTTAGTTTTTTAAGATACTTTTTTGAGATTTCTCAAAAGAAAATTAATGAGAATTAATCGAATCAATAAAAATTTGAATTTGCATTAATTGAAAATTTTGAATTTGATTTTGAAAAATTTAGATAAAAAATTTAAATTTGAAATTAAAAAAATAAATGAATAAATAATTACTTCGAAACTAAAATGTCTAAACGAATCTTTCCAGAATTTATTTTAGATTTTCTATAGTTTATTCTTCAATTTTAATTTTATCTTAATAATTTTTATTTTAAAATTTAAATTTTCAAATTTAAATTTAAATTTTTTCGAATTTAAAAATTTTTTTAAATTTTTTTAAATTTTTATTTTTATACTTTTCGATTTTTTGCGACAATATAAAAATTTATATTTCAGGCGAAAATCAGTAATTTAGAAAGTCAGTGCAATAATGAAAAAAAAAATTATTTAAGCGTTCTTCATAAATTATATGAGCAGAATTCTGAATGCATCGATAAATTGAAGGTGTGCTTTTTATCCTATTCATTTTTGAACATGAAGAACGAAAAATATTACTTTCAGCAGTTGGATAGTACTATGCAAACAGTTTCAACCAAAGTTGTTCATATCGGCGATCAATTAGAAAATGTACATATTCCACGAGCCAGAGCAAATGAAGCACTGCAACTGATGAAACATTTTGATGAATTTCTTGCTGATCAGCCTCTTAATTCCGACATTTTTACTGATCCTGATCGAGTATGTTAATCATTTATTTCATATTCTATTTTAATATTCTATTTAATTTAGTTCTTTTTTCACCTCCTTTCCAGCTTTTTTTCCTTTTTTCTTGATTCCATTGGTCACTGGGATAAAGTATTTTCAATCTTCGAATTCCTAACGCTTGCTCCATATTGAAAATTGATATTTGCAAAAATTGTTTATTGCTTTTGCTCTTTTGCTTTCGAAATAATTTATTTTTATTTTGAATAAGTAGATTAGCTAAAAATTAGCTTTAATTCTCGTAAGTTTCGTCAAATTAATATTATGAATGAGAAAGAAAAACACTATGGTCTAAAAGATTCAGTTATATAATTAAATTTTAATATTAATAATTTGTAGCTACTGGAGTCAGCATTAATGATTCAAAAATTATCATCGATTTCTCAAGAACTTGCCCGTGATAAATATAATGCAGTACAAACGCGAATTGCCCACAAATATGACGAAATAGAGAAATTAATGATTGAAGAATTCGTTCATGCTCATAGATTAGGAAATTGGAAACGAATGCATGAGATTTCCGTCATTCTTTCAGAATTTAAGGTTTTTTATTTGTTTTTCTTTATTTTTCTTCAACTATATTTTCAAATTTGAATGACTTACATATTACGCAATTTTATTTTTGCGGAATTCGTAGATAATGGCCTAATTTTATATCGTAGTAATAGTGCTTTTTGTGCTTAATAAAGTGAAAATTGTTTTTTTCATTAATTTTCTTATCATTGAAATTTATTTTAGGGTTATTCACAATGTTTGGATGCATTTGTTGAAAATATACAGATAAATGCTTTTCGCTCCGAAAATATTTTTGATGATATATATTCTTTATGTACTAAAACTCGTCCATTACTGAATGACATTTTTCCTAATCCTCAACAAGTTATGGCGAAATTGGTCCTTAATGTTTTTCATGGTAAATTACAGGTATTTGTATTATTTTATTTAAAAAACATTTCTTTGCTTTTTTTCTTCAAATGCGATTAAATAAAAATAAAAGTTATAAAAATAATAATAGAAGCTTCATTCGAATAGAGTATGTATTACATAATAAAATTGTTAAAAATGATAAATTTACAAGTATTCTAATAGCTTAACATATCACTTATATAAATAGCGATCGCAATTCCCAAAATGTTGAGCAGCAATCGATATACTTGGGGTATTTTTCGTTGGATATTTTATCCGGCATTTGAATTTTCTCATAAATGTACCTTAATATTTTTTGCTCGCGTTTGCACGAGATAAGCCGTTACGCCTTAGCATCTTTCAACCTAAATTTATATTTAGTATATACAATCAGTATTTAGGATTTAATATTTAAAAAGAATTTCTAGAAAATTCCTTGTTATTTTTAAAAGTATTGTATATAAGAAACATATTTTATGATTTTTGATTATTTTATAGGAAACCGTCAATACAAAATTAGAAGAAACATCTCAAGATCTTGAAGAATATCTAAATGCCCTATATGATTTGTATTCACGGCAAGCATTTTGATTTTTAGTCTCATCATTTTTAAAAATTTTTTTAATATTTTCATTTTTTTGTTTTCTCTTGAATTATAATTTATAAATTTAATTTAGTTCTTTTTCGATTTTTCTGATTTATTGAAAAAGGTTGCAGAACACAGAAGTTGGCTGATAACCTATATTCTGTTGGTGCATCTGATCCTCGTTTTTTGCCAACATTAATTCGATCTGTTTTTGGCAAGTATTTGGAAACTTATCCAAAGCATGTTTTTTAAAATCATTTTTCATCGTTTTGACCTTTTTCGTCATTATTATTATTTATATTATATTATATTATTGTATTACAGAAATGAAACTCAATTTCTTCACGATCAGTGTAGCTCTTTACTTAATCGATTTTATGAATCAAAAAACCATCATAAAAAGCAAATGCATAGTGGCGGGTATATCTTTTAATATTCATATGACATTGTCATATTTTTTGTAATCATATTTTTTCTTAAATTTCGTACTGACTGGTTGTTAATCGAAAATCTGAGGTTCATAAGCAAAGCTCTTCATAGATTATAAGTTAAGGTTTTGCTAGGATTTTTCTAATTGGCCAAAGCTTCAACTCATACTTTCTTTGTATTTATATTACTTGCATCTGTGCATAATCTTTCTTGCTAATAATTTATGGTTTCATAAATATTTTCTAATTATTCATGGTCATTCTCTGCTTCTCAATAAATCAGCTCTTAAGTTTTAGCTTGCAAGACTTCAAGCGTGATATTCAAGCTCGTTTATTACAAGTCGAAACTTACGGTGGTGAAACATTTCTTTCAGAAGAATTAGCTATTAACATTCTGCAAGAAACTAAAAATGCTTTCAGTCGTTGTCAATGTGTTTGTTTTGCATTTTTCTTCTTCTTATAATTATTCGATGCTCTTATTTAACGAATTGGTAAAAATTCGTTACAATAGTCTCTTAAAAATGTTGTTTAGTTATGCGAGAAGGATGATTGTGTAAAAATGATTGAAACAATATTCGACATTTTATTGCGTTATCTTTATAATGAACACGTTGAATATGCCGTTGACTTATCAGTAGCTGGTAGATTTTTATTTTTTCTTTTTTGTTTATTACTTCATAAATTTTATTTTATCCATTTGTCATTTCTATTTCAACATTATATTAATAGCCCTCCCTTGATTTTAGGTATTTCTCTTGCTGAACCCAAATCAAGTCCGCCGAATTATTTTTTTTCGGTGATAAGGCAAGCAGCTGCAATAACTCACCTGTTTGAAAAGCAATATGATGATTCAATTTATCCTCTCATAGAGTAGGTTTCTATCTTTTACAAAATATTAAAGTTTTTCACGAAAAAATCAAGTTTTTCTTCATTTCGTTTCGTTTCAGAAAAACTTTGATAGAAGAATCATGTTCTAAAAAGCGCATAGAAACTTTACGAAATGTGGAGGGTCGTTTAAATTTGGGACTGGAACGGCAATTGAATGCTATTATTGGTTATATCAGGTATTTGCTTTCAGTTGAACAGAAAAAAACCGACTTTCGTCCGGATGATGAAAATATTCAAGTTACTGCGATGTCCAATGTTTGTTTCCTTTGTATTTTTATCTATATTTAGAAACTTATCTTGATTTTCAAAGCATTTTTTTTTTAGATTTCTCGATTTTTTCAGTTTCTTTCATTTTAATCATTTTAACTTTTTTGAGGCTTGCTCTCTAGTTGTGAAATATATAACTTCGGAAGTGACCGTGATTTGTGATAGCGTTGATGGTGGCAATCTTAGCTCAATTTTAACCGAATTCGGGCAGAGATTCTATCGTGCCATATTGTCGCACATTTATCAATTTACATATAATTCCCAAGGTGCTATGCTTCTTTTATGTGATATCAATGAATATAGGTATCTTTACTTCTGAATAAATAAATTAATTTATACGATTTCTTTTTTATAAATTCTCTTCTTTCCAAGAAATTTTTAAATATCGCAAACTTTATTTTCGTGATGTTGAAAAATTTTAAAATCGTATTTTAAGACTCCTCCTATATATTTTGGAATATTATCAAATTCATTCGCACAATTCCATGTTTTAGGAAGTGTGTGTTGGGTTGGAAATTACCTGAAATTAACAAACAATTTGAATCACTGCATGCTCTTGCAAATTTATTAGTTGTAGTTCCGGAAAATTTGAACGAAGCATGCTGTTCCCAACTTTTGGTAAATTTATTTTTGTTTTGTAATTGTTCGATGGTTCAATGCGATACAAGATACATTCGATAGGAGTATTTTAAAATATCTCGTAAAGCTAATGGTTTTTTCAGATTGATATAGATCGTTCTATGGTTATTAGTTTCATACAGTTGCGTAATGATTATCGAACTGCGCGATTGCATCTTCTTTTTGCTTAATTTAGTTTTCTTCAATTTTCATTTATTAAAGCCATTCAACTGCCAGTGTTAATTTTTAAAAATATGTATGAATAATAATTTATAAATTTATAATTTTGTATATCCCATTTAAATAAGACTTGTGCAGGTAACGGAGGGCGAATTTAGTTCCATGGTTTATCCTCATATTTGTCAAATTTCTGCAATTTTAGAACTTTTCTGTTGAGGTAAAAAATTAGGCATTTTTCTTGGTTTGTCACTTATATATATTTATTGACTCATTTAATTTATACAATTTAATATGGTACATTATTTATTTATTTTTTATTTATTTTTTAGTGATCCATTTACCATTATTAATTAAAATAATTATTTGTTGCAAAAACTTTTTGTTGAATATAGGTTAAATATGCTTTTTTAAAATCACTTTTTTACTGATTAGAACGGGAAATTTATAGTTTGCTTTCTCAAGATGTGATATTTGATTAATTCTTTAAAAAATTAATTTTTTTATTATTATTATAATTTTTGTTTTTTCAAAAAAAAAAACTTTGTAAGGAAATATATTTTTTCGGTTTTCGTTATTTAGTTACTGATTCATTCAGTTTCAGTCAATTCTTATAAGGTTTTTTTGTTTCGATTGCTGGTTTTTGTGGTTATCCATTATTTTTGCGTACTAATCTCAGTTCATAAGGCTGCTAAAATTTTATTTTGTTTGAGTGGATTATGCTAAATTCTTATGGATAATTCAAGCAGCCTTGAAGCAGCTGAGGAATTTCGACGTGAAGGCAACCAGCATTTTGGAGCAAAACGATATTTTAATGCGATTAGAAGTTATACAAAATCATTGGAGAATTTCGTTACTCTAAATGCACTGTCGAATCGTGCGCAGGCATACATCAATGTGAAACAGTACGTTGATATATATATATCTATATATCTTTTCCTATTTATTAAATATGCACTATATTCTTACATATTTATTTGGATTTCAATTAGAGATATATATATATATATATATATATATAATCGACTCTTATCTCTTCTAAAAATTCGCACCATTTCGAATTGTTTGGTGTTCCACTCAAAATTGAGTGTTCCTAAGTACACCTATTCTTTTCTATGTCTGATACTACACTCTACTAATAATATACTAATTTGTTTTCTGCTAGAACTTTGATACGAATATGTTTGCCAGTTTTTTGCTGGTTTTCATCTTATTTTTTATTTCAAACGATATTTCAGCTTTTTTTCGTTAAAATTTTTTAATCGCATCATGGAATGGATGGAAAAAAAACAAAGAAATCCGGCCTTTTTATTTATTTGATATTATCAGTTTTCTTGTTTGTCACATTTGATTACTATTTGAACAAAAATTCAGAGGTTTAAAGTTTTTTAAATTTTTAGATATGAATTGGCACTGATAGATGCAAATAAAGCTTTAGAATTGGATCCAAATTCTGTCAAAGCTTTATTTAGGTTTGTTAAATGATATATTTGAATGTGAAGTGCATTTTCACGTATTTTCAAGTAATTTTATTATAAAAACCGTAAATAAACTTTCAGTTTTTCTTCTTTCCATTTTTAGGCGTGCTCGAGCCCTTGCAAATATTGGATTATTTGATGTGGCCCGTACAGATATCAATAGGCTTCTTGTTTTGGACCCGAAGAATGTGGACGCAAAAAAATTAAAAGATCAGATTGACGGGAAGGTGGTCTTCAAGTGGTCTTTTATAGCTTTTAGAATTTAGAATGAATTCTAATATTTTTAATATTTTGTAATAAATTTATTAATAACCAATAAATTTTTATGTGTTTGTTATATATGTTATATATATATATATATATGTTGTATGAAACTGATAGCTTAGACCATGCTTGATAATTTTTAATAATTTAAAAATGAAGGTTTTAATTTTTCCAGAAAAACATTGACGTGATTAGGATACGAAGTGGCAATAAGTGTGAGTCAACTCGATCAAAAATGCCTTTGAAAAAAATTGAAGACATAAAAATTGTACGCGCGACCAGCAGTAATGGCTCAATTAACGAATTTGACAATACGTTAACTAAGGTTTTCATTGATGATTCCTAATTCTTTTTATTTCATACTAGGTTCCATTTGTAGATGAGGATTAGCGTTCGATTTTCTATTTGAGAATTTAATATTTTGAAGGGTTTAAATTCCAAAAAATTTTGTGTTTTTTTAATTCAACTCTTATCTATTGTGTATTTCAAATTTTATTATAGAATTCAGCGAAGTCATTCTTACCAGAGCCAGCCACCAATTCATTCAAATTTGTTATGGATTTCCGTTTACTCAAGGAAAATCCTGGGAATTTCGCCAAATATTTTCTTGTATGTTTCACTGAGTTAAATATTGTAGAATATTTTAACAACCATTGTGAAAATTGTTTTCTACGGTGCTTTATCATTATCGACTGAGATATTTTTCATTTTTCTCCCTTAAGTGGTCCAGTCGTTTCTGTTACTTTCATTTTTTGTTATATTTTTTGCAACATTTTATGATGGGAAAATACCATTAATTTTGAAAATATCATTAATTTTACGCCATAAAATGAACCTTTAATTAACAATAGCCAACATCAGACCTGAGCTTCAACACATTTCCTTTAATTTTTCTTGAGCTCTCTTGAACTAAACATAATTTTCAGTCTATTGATCTGAATGATTACAATAAAGTAATAGGCGAAATCATTGAAACAGACATGATCTCAACATTAATCAAAGGCCTCAAGGAAGTTATTGATTCTCATAGTTCTGACCAGATCATAAACTGTTTGATGGCACTTGCATCAGTATCACGTTTCGAAATTGCAGCTGTTTTTCTCGATACCCGGGATAAAGAAGGTCATATTAACCAATTTTCTATAGAAAAAAACTACAAAATAATTTCGTAATAATTTCATAATAATTTTTTTTTCCCATTTTCTTCGCATTTATTGGATAGAAGAATTTGAATTTCATTTCATTAAATATTTACCATTAATTGGCCGAAATTAGTATGTCGCATACTAATTTCTTTTAGTTTAAATGGTTAAATTCAAGCTTTTTTAATATTTTTATTTTTGTAATATTTTTATTTTTTAATATTTTTTCATTTTTTTAAGAATTACGACAATTATTGCCTCTCGATGGTAAGAATCAAGAGCAAGTTCGACTTGTTTATAAAATGTATGATCTATAGGATGTTTTTATTTATCCTTTTCCTTCGTTGTTCTCAATAAATTTTTTCACATATTTTTTATATTTAAAGACAGAAATTAGCATTATTTTAGAATAAATATTTTAGAATAAATAGCATACAGTGGAGATATACAATAGCATAGCTAAAATAATATAGATAGAAAAGACTATTTGACCTTACTGGAACTATCTCTCGAATTTTTAACCAACATTATTTAAATGTGAGATTCTTTCTGGCTGAGAGCAGTAAAATTTTACCCTTTTGAGTTGTATTTATAATTACTAGGTATTCATTACAAGTACAAATTGAAATCATAAAAATAAAAGATTAATAAAAACTAAATTCTTAAATAATTCAAATTACCAGTTTAATATGATTTGATTTGCCTTATTTGCCGCCACTGATAAGAAAATATTTAGATTAATAATTACCAAAGACTATGATAAAAGACTGAAGTTACAAAGAAATTGCTAGTCTTTTTCTCGAAATATATAAGCAATACAAATTCTCTGCAAAATGATAATTTCATATAAAAAATTGAATGCTTCATTTGGGAAAAAAGCAAAATTGAGTAGATATATTTGATTTACATTGTTACGTTAACATTTTTTGGATTGGAAAGTTTCCTTTAGGAAATCTTCAGGAAGATCTTCTATTTTTCATTTCATTTTTTTATTTATGTTATATTATTTTCTATTTTACTATAATTTAGAAAATTTCAGCATGAAACTCATTGAGCAATATAAAAGTGACTTTAGATGATAAATGTATACTTTTCATATTTTTTTGAACATTAGAAAATATAAGACTGCTTAGGAAAACAAGAATTATAATATTTCTATCTCCTCTGATAAGGAAATTGACTCATTTAAATTATCAGTGGCGTCAAATAAGGTAAATCAAATATAACATGACGAACTCAACTTGAACGTTTTTATCCTTCAATTAAGCTTCAATACTCGGTGGCAATTTTCCCACCATTGAGCTACGAGCAATACTTTTTAAATCTTAGAAATAAATTGGAAAATCGGCTCATATTTATCGAGAATATGGAGATTTGAAAATAGAAGTCTCGCCTCACCTCATAAAAACCAAAAAAGGCAGAATTTTTTGCTATCAAAAAAATCTTTCAGTACTTTTCATAATTAAATCTACCTTATAAATTCTTGCAAGAAACGATTCCACGCGAACAAATTCACATTACCAAGCCAAAACTTTGCCAAAAAATATACTTGTTCTTTTCTATTAGTTTTTCTATTATAATTTGCCTTTATTTAATTTTTTGGCTCAACTTCATATCCTTAAATTGCTTTTGATGCTTCTCCCTTAAAGCATATTAAAGATATTACTAATTGAGCTTTTGTACTTCTGGTGGCTTTTCATTATGAATGGCTGCAACGAATCCTCCGCTCCAAAATTGTCGCAACGATCTCTGTGGAAATCTGGCAAAACTAAAAATTAATAAAGGCAAATTTAGGTCGATTCTTGTATCCTTTTCTTATCACTAATAATGATAGCCAAAAAACCCCAAAATTACCTAAGCCAAACTAAATACAAAAATTTCTAATAAATGATTACAAAAAATCCCCAGAAAGACACCTTCGATTGCCCACATTTAAATAGAATAATGATAAATGAATTATTTAGCTGAAATCAGCAACAAAAAAAATTTTAATTTATTTTTCGCGAAAAATAATTTTTTATTTTTATTAACTTTTTATTAAAATTTTTAAAATTGCTTTTGTAATTTTCAAATTTATTTATTAGTTTATTAGCATTTGCGTTATTTATAAAAAATAATACAGATAAAGAAAAATTTAATAATCACAGCCAAGAAATAATCGTAAATTACGAAAAATGGAAAATATTTTAGATTAAAAAATATTGATGATTAAATTGCAATGTACTTCAGAAATGAATTAAAAAACATTTTAGAGAAAGTTCTCCTCTTTCTTTAGCATTACTTCTTCCACGAAATGTTCGCTTATCGGTTATTTGTACATTACTGAATGAGTATTTTAAGCGTATTTCAAAAAGTAATAACTGTTATAAAATCTTAAACTTATAACAAATGAGCCTCTCCTCCATAATATACGATTAATTTGATCACACACAGAATCAAAGATTCTCATAAATCCGACTAGAAATATTAGAAATATCACCAATAATTTATTCATTGTCGTTCCATAAAATTAAAAAATATTTTAAGAATATTTCTATTAAGAATTTTAAATGATCATTGAAATATTTTCAAAGGAGTTAAAGGATTTAAAAAGGAGTTAAAGGTTTTCCTAGCATTCTTCTTTTTCACTTATCGGTTCACTGGCAACGATTTCAAGCTGCGCGAGATGAAGCCATTTTTGATGTTACAAAACCCATTGTTTTCAAACCATTCAAATTCTACTAGGTTTTATTCTATAAAAAAATATAAAAATTTTATAATAAATAAAAAATCAAATTTTATTACTGCAAATTTATTCTATTTTTTTACATAATTTGTTTCCTATAAATTTCCTTGGAACTTTTGAATATTATTCTAACACTTTTCAGCACGTTCTTTTTTACTCTAACTTTTCCAACATTCTCTTTTGCTAGCTATATTATTTTTGGCCTAACATTATCCTAATTCTGTAACATCTATAGCTTTTTTTGCTATGTGATATTTTTGGCCAAACGTTGCTCTAACACCTTTGTGCAAACTGCTAAAATGGTAGATAAGTGTTTAGATTTGATCTCTTTTTATAGGTTCTAAGCAAAATATATCTGAGTGGCAAATGAATAATTATTACCCATCTTATACGCAATAGTAATTCTTTGTGTATTAAAAAAGGGAAAGCTTACTTTACGAATAAATACTTTGAGATTAATGCAGTTTAATGCATTAGTATGGTGTAGCAAAGTATCTAATATTAAGCAATTTATCGAAACATTATCAAGGGAATGTCGCTTAAATGAAGCGACAAAATAGCGACGATGCGAATAGAAATCGACATAATAGCGAAAATAAACATATGGCAATTTTATAAAGTTTAATGCTTTCCTTTCATCCCTTTTGAACCAAAATTTGAAAAAATCGGAAAAGCAATTATAAAAGTGATGAAGGGAAAGAAACATGGCATTTGTTTTTATATTTTTTCCTATTATTATTGTTTATTATTCATAAATTATTTATTGTTATATATTTATTCATTTCTTCTTGCTTATTAAATTTTTTTAAAATAGTGATGACTATTTTTAATCTTTTGTTAATTAATAATTAATATTAATATTAAAAATTAATATTTAATTTTTTGTTATTTATTGTTTTTGGGAGAATTTGTCGTTGGCTTTGATCAAGAAACCAAAGCGGTGATTCATTTGTGGTTTTTTATTTATTAAAAAAATAGAGCAAATTGTTGCCAAAATTAATTTTAAAAAATTTTATACGGCGTAAAAAAATTTTTAAAAATGTTTGTTCATTTTCTAAATATTTTTCTAAATATATTCAAGAACATTTCGATTTTAATAAATTTTCTGACTTTTTATTTATCACAAACTGATAATTAAAGTGATAATTTTTTCTCTCATTTTTCTTAGATAGGCTAAAGATTAGAAACTGCTAACGAAATTTTAGAAATAACCGATTTGCCACACAGCTAAAGAACATTTGTTCCATAAGCAGTGTGCATATTTATACAAAATATATTTTATATATTTATATTATAAAATATATCCAATCCAATTTTATAAAATGTCTAATCCTCCTAAATTGAAGGTTTGAAAATTCAAGTATAAAATTTAAGCTTTCTTTACTCATTTGTTCGAAATCTATAAAATATTTTTTAGGATAAATGAGTTGCTCTTGAAATCTCTAATATTCTTTCTTACTCTTTAGTTTTATACTTTTTAGTTTTTACTCTTTCTTACGCTAATTTTTTTAACTCTCTTCTGTTCACTAAAATTTTTTTTAGCAAATTTTTTGTCACTAATCTATTTTCCAGCATTTTTTCACCGTAGCATTTTGGCATTCATGGAGTACACATAATTTTTATCGAAAAAATAAAATGCAAGAGTGGAATATAGCTTTTCAATTTTGATTTTAGTATTATTTTAAAGAATTTAATTTTTCGAATTTTTAAAGAATTTATTTATTTCTTAAATTTTCTGAATTTTTTATTCTATTTTTCTTAACCAATTTTTATAGTTATTTTTTCACTTTTACGACTGGAATTTGAAAATTATTGAAAATTGGGTCAAATTCCTGAATTTGCGTAAAAATTAAAAAAAGTTTCTGAAAATAGATGAAATTTATTTAATTGATTAAATGTGCGTTAAATATTTTCTCCCAAAATGTTTTCTTATCAATAGAAATAAGCGTTTAGTTAGTTACGACAAAGTTTGAATACAAAATACCATAGTTGTAATTTTTGCATTATTAAAAATTAGAATAAAATTTAATAAAATTAGATAAAGAATATTTAAGAGAGTTTCCTTTTTGAATATCGATAAATTGCTTGGATATTAGAAGATTAAAATATTGATTGTGTTGATTTAGATTAATAAATAAATGAGAATATTTGTAAGATAATGGATAACTAGCTTGGCGAAAAAAGGAAAAACTGTATTTAAGGACTGAATTTTAACTGGCTTCAATTAAGCCATTTTCAATTTTCAAGTGGTTTTTCAGCTTGAGAAAATAATTAGTTGCATTGATTAACTAGAGTAGCGCGTATTCCAGTAGTTACACGTTGCAATTTATTCCATCCGAAAGGAAATTCAGATTCGCTTTTTTTAAGAAGAATCAAGCTATCATCATGAAATCCAGGTAGTGCCAGGTAATCATTTATATTTACACCCAATCCCCGAATGCATTTATCAGGCGAATTTACAGAATCACTCTTGATGTAATGAAACAGTTCACCAATTCACCAACCTAAACCTTTAATGATTTATTTCTTTCCAACGAAAAGATTCCAACTGCACATTTAAAACGATCATTTCCTAGGATGGCAAAGTAATTT